TAACGCATTCACAAATAATAATTTCAGAAGGGAAATATCTCGGAAAGCAGTCATGACAAGATAGAAGCGATAGGAGAATGACACTGAAATTTGTCTTATGGAGGGAGTCATGTTTGTTGGACTTGGATGGAACTGGCTCAACATCTTTTTAATTTTCAGATTTTGATGTCAGTAAGTACTTGTTACTTTGTATAGTTCCAGTCTTGACCTTCCGATTTTCTGTCATGAAGTTCATTTCAATAAAATGGAAATTGCTTTGATTCACAAGATACAGTAATATATTTTAATTCGTTAGATAAGCTATCAAATAAAAAAAAACAGTGAATAAATAAGTTTAAGGTGTATGTATACACATCACCACTCACATCATTACAAGATTGTTGAGGTAAGTTTCTTCTGAGTCATTTATAAATACTGCGTGTTTAAAAATGATTTATAATCCACAAAACTTTAAATTCGCTTTCTTAAAAGATCTTGTGTGTTGTTTAGGATAATTTTCGTGAAACTGAATTTATGTGTAATATTGTAAGTAATGTTTGCAGCAATTTTATTTCAGGAAATATAACTTCAAAACATTTCACATATATTTAAAATATCAACACTAAATTGTAGTGAGAATGAACTTAGTGATAACCGTATTTATATTCAATATTAGGTGTAAAATAATAAGATTAGAGTGACACTGCGAACTCAAGAAGAGGAAATACTGTTTTCATAGATGGAGATATTTTTGTCTGTTATGTGGACATTCATTCCATAAAATGTGACAATATGTTGTTTAATTCATGTTCTTACTACTGTCCTGTTAAACTGAAAGTTGATACACATTTTGAATAATATTCCTGTATACTTGTATCGTTCCTACCCACACAAAACTAGAGTACCTGCAGTGGTAGTTGAGAATCTTGTCTTCCTCGACTGAGCTGGAAGACTGTCTGACCATATGCTAAATGTACAAATACCTGTAATGATGTGTTCTCAGATAACATTTAATGTATCCTTAAAATGGATGACTGCAGACGAAAAAATTAACGTTAAGATATGAGTAACATTTCCATACCATGATATTAGTATTTTATATGTGTAAAGTATGCAATGAATGTATTTTTCATTCTGATGCTTCTTCTCTGTTGTAAATAGTCTGCAGGTAATAAATATAGCTGGTATTTCTGTCTTAAAGTAAGTAAAGTAATAATTATTAACTGTGTGATCTACACATTTCATTATATTATATTAATAGAAATTCAGATTTATTTATGTACAAACAGGTACAACACTTTCTTCTGAAATATGTAAATATCTGAGATCATTTAATATTCTTTTAACATAATTATGATAAAAATTATATTTGTTTTAAAAATTCAAAATTTTCGATGGGAATTGTATCTTAAGGTATTGTTAAAGTGCTGATCTACAGTGACTTATTATCTTAAATTGTTTTAAAATTCAGTCCCATAACCATACATTTAAAGATTAATGCTAACAAGTTAACTTGCATAATTAAAATTATGTATGATGATAATTCAAAATTAAACTTGCAAAATTCAATTAATGTTTTCTGGAATTATCTGAGTACTGATATTGTTTAATATTCAATCTCTATAACTGTAGTACTCTAAAGAATTGTATTTACAGCTGTGAAAGTGACTATCTATGCCCTTCATTTTTCTACTCCAAATAAAATCAGGGAAGAAAAATCTTGTCTTGTTGATTGTAACTTTCCAGGCTGTCTTACAAAAAGATCCCCATGCTTTGAAAATAAATAAGATAGTTTGTGTTGAATATTAAAGTTTATTTATTACCTAAAGTTAAATATAAAAATCATTAGTAAATTACCAGTTGTAACATTTCAAAAACAAATGTCTACTTCCGCCCCCTCCGTCATGCAAAGCGCGCACAAATTTGAAGCTGTGGGATTGTAGGAGCTCTGAGTAGAAATAGTGATGGCATAGGAATAGTCTAATTTTTAACTTGTAAATAAAATGTTATTCACAAGCACTAAAATTCTAAAAATATTATTAACATATTTTATAGAAATATGGAAGGAAGAGAATGTATGAAGACTTGGTATCCAAAGTTTAAAATATATTATACTGTATAATTACCTTCACAGGTTATTCCATTGCACTTGAAGAAATATGTGATAAATGGAACACAATAACGATGTTTCTTTCAATTAAATACGAATATTTTCACAATTTATTATGCATTTCATCTGGTACCTGTGTAGCATTGAATGTTAGTGATGAAGGCCCTCATAGGAGTTTATCTTGTTCCTGAAGATGTAATGTCTATGACAGCACAATGTAAATATGTCCCCATCATATGTATATTCATATACTTGTAATATGGTTAGATATCTTGAAGATTTCTGTCTTCTGTGTTGTTGCGCTGTGTAGTCTGGTCGATGTTAACCAATGTTTCAGAGGCCATACTGCCTCCGTCATCAGGGCGATGAATATGCCAATAAACCTTGTGGCCTAATGAGCCATCAGGTTTCCGGTGGATATCTATGTCGAACCTGATGGCTCATTAGGCCACAAGGTTTATTGGCGTATTCATCGCCCTGATGACGGAGGCAGTATGACCTCTGAAACGTTGGTAAACATCGACCAGACTACACAACGCAACAACCCAGAAGACAGAAATCTTCATACTCATCGCCCTGATGACGGAGGCAGTATGACCTCTGAAACGTTGGTTAACATCGACCAGACTACACAGCGCAACAACACAGAAGACGGAAATCTTCATACTCACCGCTGCGAAAACCACAAATCTTAGATAGATATCTTGTCAGATTCTGTGTCAATTCAGGTGAGTTACTTCATTTTATGTGTGTATTTTCTGAGCTACAAGTTGTTCATCTTGATTGTTTAATATATTTAATTTATTTAAATGTACAGATATATAAATATTGAATCTTCATGTATTACTGTTTGTAAAACAAGATGTTGATTGTTTATCATCAGTGAATACATTCAAAAAATATATTCATTCTCTAAAAAAAAAGATTTAATATTTCTTTTTCTGTGCAGGTATATGTAAAACTTTTTAATATGGATATAACACAAATGCTGTAAATTAGGTACAGATGTGAATAATTATATTTTGAGTGTGATATCTGTCTGGTATTATATGTCAGCATCACATAATCAAAAATCCCTCGACTTTACTTCTGTATAAATTGAACACTGAGTCTTATATTGGCTGTTTGTTGTTGTTGTTACATTACAATAAAAATTATTAACAACTGTGATTATCACTGAAACAAAGTATCTACAATGTAGTTCATAAATAAACATGACTGTTGAAATTATTAATACGTAAATTTTTTAAATCTTACATAGAGGCCATTGGAGTTGATGAAATTAAGGAAACATAAATATCTGTCATTGAACTTAAAATTATGAAAGTAGTGACAGCTGTACTGAAAACCACGTAAAGCCAATGTATCACTTGTTAACTTGTGAATTAAATATGGGCAAAAATACAGTTATTTAATACTTAACCTGTGTTAAAATAATATTGATTATTTTATAAAATAATTGGGGCATCTGTTTACAACAGCAACTTAGCATTATATGTGATTACTAATCTACCAGATTTTTTTTTTTCAAAGTTCACAATTAATAATATTTCCATGTACAGTACAGGTATTTCCCATCTTACACATTACTTGCATAATAGAAAATTCTTGTATTTGGTGAAATTTTATTAGTCAGACAGATTTCTCATAATTGCATTTCAGTAACCAAATTTGATCAACATATTTGTAATTAAATTATTTTTATGACTATATTTCATTGCATCATTTGACAGCTGTTCGTGTGACTCCAAGTACTCGATTGCGTCTGCCTCCTTCACTTCATCAAAACGAACTTCTTTAACCATTGCAGTTTTTTTAAAATTTATTCATCAAACTCTTGAAAATCATGAACAGAATGAGGAAGCAATTTTTTCCACACGTCAGTCACATTTCAGCCCAGGCTTCAGCTGTGATGTCTGTGTGCATTTTTGATGTTGAAGGATTTCCAAAATTCCTTCTCAGTAGCTTTATTTTTATCATTAGCCAAGCGAATAAGCTTCAGATATAGCAATCACTCCTAAGTCCATTGACTGTAGAAGTGGAATTATATTGAGAAGCAAAAAGACAATTTTATGTGTTTCTGTAACGTCTCTATCACAGGAAGAAGACCACAAGAACTTTGCAACAAGCAAAAAGTCCATATACTTCGACTTTTAGTTCATAGTACAGTTATCGTTGAACCTTTCAGTGAATGTTTGGTCTGACATCCAAATCTTCTTCGCAGACTGCCAGTAAACAGGAAGGAAATATTTGAGAAGTCCCCTCAGTGTACCAGGATTACCAGCATGGCAGATTTCAACAGGCTTCACCATTCAGGATTTTCATCTGATCCTTTGTCGCCTTCATTCTTGAGGTTGTTCTCGTAGGCATGCACATTGAACATTTGCTCGGTTGAATAACCGCTTTGTCTACTAGCGTCACCCTATCTTTGTCTCCTATTCCTTTTCATGGTGCACATTATTTGTTAAACGAGGCTGTAGAAACTGACTCGTATGTTTTCATCTTGTGTAGAAAATACTTGATAATTAATGGTTATGTTACCTTAATTTAATTTTTGCACCAAGGAAGTAAAAGCAAGGATAGCCATGGCCAAGGCAGCTTTCGTCAAGAAGAGGATACTTCTCACTAGCAAGTTGGGCTTGGAGATGAAGAAGAAACTAGTGAAGTGTTACATATGGAGCAGAGACTTGGACACTCAGGAAGAAGGAACAGAAATACCTGGAGAGTTTTGAAATGTGGTGTTGGAGAAGAATAGAGAAGATCAGGTGGACGGATCGAGTGACCAACGAAGAAGTATTGAGGAGAGTCAAAGAGCAAAGAATCATTCTGCAGGCGATTACACGAAATTTCCAGGATTTAAAACGAGAAGCTGAGAATAGGGAAAACTGGAGAGCTCTTTTTGGGCAGAGCAATGGACCTGTCGTCAGACAGAACACTGAATAATAATAATAATAATAATATTGTTTTCTGACAACTATGGATATGTTGTAATAGTATGACTAACTTGAAATAGGACTGATGTATTTGCTGACAGCTAGTTGTTATGAACCAGTTATGACCACCGCATCAAGTCATAAATGCAAACACATGTACGTCAGTTTGTTTTTGTTCTTGAACTAATTGGATTTTAGGTTTTCCATTTCCATCAAATCCCATCTAAGTATCGGTCTTTTCATTTCTTTTTGGAAAAGCCAGTGGGCATCGTGGCTGACAGTGGATTGGAAAATTGTGGTTTGATCCCTGGAATGGGCAAAGAATTTCTCTTCTAACCTCTACATCCACCCAGTCTCTTACTCCGCGGTTACTGGAGATCCTTTTCCAAGGTCATGATGTTGACCACTAACCCCATCTGGTGCCAAGGTCAAGGATGATTAGCAGCTGCACTGCCTCTCCCTACAAGAGCCCCCATTTCATGTAACAGAACAGCTTTACTTCAGCAACTGGTAAACATTCCTTCTACACGTCTTTCTCTTAATTATTTGATTTCTCTGAGTATAATTGTTTGATGGTTTTTCCTTTGTTACTATTTTTAGCCACAGATTACCATTGCTTCTGGTTTTGTTTTTGATAGTTTTAAGTTATATTGATTTACAAATTGTATGTGTATTTAAGCGATATGCTGAAATCTGTAATTCATTAGGTTTTGAAATCAATATCTTATCTGCGTAATAGTTCAAGTGAAAATAGCTGTAACAATCCACATCCTTGTGATATTTATTTCATTGTTATGGCAGGTTCAGAGATTTATCCAACCTTTCAACGAATATTTATTTCGTACTACAGCAAGTGTGCGAGTTGGTGACCTTGGATTATACGTGCCAGAAAAAGCCGTCTTGATTTGTTTTCTTATTCTTCATCCCGTGCCTTGTTCCACACAATTTCTGAGCGTGACTGTACTTCGTTAGAATGTTTTCGCGAATTGTTCAAACAAGCAACCGTTTAATGCGCTGTATTTCTACACGAAACAATTGAAAGAAGACTGGCACAAGAGACGTTGTGTGGGACTGCGTAACAAATTTAGAAGGCTTTTAACATTCACCCTGAAAACACACACACAAAAATGCGTGAATAACTCTGAAATGTATTTCCTTTCAGATCGCTGTAGCCAAATCTGCCACAGCGTTGCAACAGTACGAGCTGTAGAATAATTAGAAGTGGTTGGTTGTCGACGACACGAAATCTGGATCAAAAGTCAGGATCCGTGAGTTGGTCAGTTTCTCGAATTATTTCTATTGGGCTTTAGAAGGCAGTTCCTTCCGTTGTTTATCTTGCGTCATTTATAGACTCGTTTAAGATCGTCAGTTGTTTAACGGGAATCAATGGTCTTTTGTGGCGATACGAAGTACCGACAACTGTTCCTTAGAATGTAAAAGACATCGTAAAACAGTGCTTGGATTGTAGGATTTAGCTTTATAGTACGACAACTTATTGATCGTAGAACAATGCTTGGATTGTAGAATTTAGCTTTATAGTACGACAACTTATTTTATACAGAAAGAAACTAAAGCCTATTGTTCACATATAGCTATGTCAATAGTTAGGTAGTACCGAAGTACATTTCTTGGAATGTTTGACTTTTTAACAACAGTCAGTTCATAACGCTTTCAAAATGTGACTAGCATTCAAAATATTGGCGTGTGAAGAAACGTGTAAGCTAATTGTCTCCTAATTTCCGACTTAGAAGCCGTTTTGTTAGAACCACGTAAGTAGCTTTTTTCTCCGTGTCGTTGAATAACTGCTGAGTACCACTGAATAAATCAATCAAGGTCAGGCTATGCATGGCATGCTTGCCGTCTCATTCAATGATTCATGCCAACAATATGTATTTTAGGAACCATACAGACCGCCCTAGTTCTACGAAATCGATTAAATTAGATACAATTTGTGAAACGGAAGTCTCCCGTGTTAAGTGACTCGAATCACACAAAACTGGTCGTTTTAAGCGTCCTTTACACATTATTTATAAAACTGAGGTTGGCACGACTGTCCACCCGCAACTTTCGTCTCAGAAACTACTGATCGGATTTTGGAGGCGTATTTTATATCCTGCATGATTTATGTACACATTTAGTGTCACATTCAGCTGTAAGATGTGTATGCCTGTAAGCAATGGCGGAAATGAACAAGACCAGTTAGGCTTATGAGATTAAAAAAAATATCTGTGTTCTTGTTTACGGAAGACCTGAAATTTAAGAACATGGAACAGGAGATATTTTAGACTTCTTCATCCAGTGCTCCTTTCTGGTGATAGCCAGTTTTTAGTTCAATATATTAAAAATCTATAAAATTGTCGGACGTAACCTCAAAATACTGGTAGTCCAACTCTTTTTTTTTATATAAAAATTCTAGTTGGTCTTTGTCTAATATTGACAGGGTGATTACGCTTGGAGACTGAACGGCTGTGTATTGGGAAATATGAGGTGTGTACAAAATTTATGTTGGCAAGGATCATAAAGAGGTAACTTCTGACTTATAGGTACTGGAATGAATCTTGAAGTTTGTCCTTGAACGGTCGACCTTTGGTTGGTTTGTGATAAGGAAGATTCTATGTTTTCCAAAATTTGGGGTCATTGAATGATAAAAAAACTGTCAGGTACCATTCTTGTGCGTGTTTCATTCAGATTTTTGAAAATAATAGAAATTAATAGGTACGTAGAAATTGAAACAATATAATTTAATCCTGGTGTTCGGGGACAGGGACGATGTTTTTAGCTTAGAGAGTATGAAGCCTGGTCTTAACGGCTTAAGGTAAATAATTCAGGTTCTCACCACTTTTCATAGATGGCAGGATGAAATTAAAAGTTTCTTAGGAATCTAGGTTGTGAGGTTGTTGCGTCAAATCAATATTTTTTTTATTTTTAGCCTAAAAATCAAAACTCTCACTTTTGTGCTAATCAATTATGTAAAATATGTCATAAATGATATACTTTCGCGTCATGTTTTCTGTGCACATCAAATGCGTATTCCTTCTTGTTTTTTTTTTAAACTAATTCTAAAATTTAAAATTTTGCATATAATGTTGGCAGGTCTGAAAACTACCCTGAAGCAACAATCTAGTTTTTTTAAACTAATTCTAAAATTTTAAATTTTGCATATAACGTTGGCAGGTCTGACAGTTTGTCCTGTCGCCCAACTGAAAACTACCCTGAAGCAACAATCTATTCTGTTTATAGTTTAGATGCGTCATGTTTGTGTTTTCAATTCATACATATATTTATTCTTCAAGTCTATACACAAACTATATTAATATTGATGTTAAAAATTAAAATTGATATAAATATTTCGCGCTATTCATCGTTTCCTCGATGTTACAATTTGCGCTATATATTACAACATGTTTCGATGTCTCAGCATCATCTTCAGGTTTTATTTTTAAAACTATTCAATATTTTTTAATGCACGCTTTTCAGTATTTGTAGATTGTAGGTTGTAGTTGTGGATGTTCCTTTT